AAATGATTAGTGGACTTGGCCGCCAACCAAAAGGTTGGAGGTTCAAGTCCACCCAGAGGAACCTGGAAGAAAAGTCGGGCGATCTCCTTGGAAAATGAGCCATTGGAAACCCTACAGAGCATAGCTCTACTCTGCAACACATGAGGTCTGCCGTAAGTTGGAGTTGGCTCGAGGGCAACGGGTTTGGTTTTTGATTTTATGTATCCCATAAATTTTCGGAAACCAGAGTCTGTTTTGAATAGACAAGGGGAAAAAGGAGCTGGGCTGAACATTGTCAGTTAGAAATAAAGGAAAATAAGTCAATGAAATGCCATTTACGTTGTGAGTTCCAGCCCTGGCTTCTTCCACAGGGCAGAAGTGATATCCATAGTCAGGAAGAGGGCTGAGAATCAGGTCAAGTCTGACCCCAGCAGTCTTTCCCACATTTCAAGCCCTTTTACTGTTCTTTAAACTCTATATTATAGAGGCTAAAAGTACAAACTATGGAGGCAGACTCCCCAGTTAAAAGCCCAGTTCTGCTACTTACTAGCTGTGTGATTTTTGGCAAATTGCTTAATGTCTCTGTGCCTAAGTGTCTTCATCTATTAAATGCATATAATGATTGAACCTCTCCCATAGAGATACTGTGAGGAATACATGAGTATTTAAAACGTTTAGAACAGCCCCTGGCACATGTGTTAGCTGTTATATCAGTAAGTCTTTGTTGAGACTGTAACTTCAGTGGAGAAGCAGATGAAATTTGACAGGTCCACTGAAATAGATCCAGAATTTAGCATAGTATACGAGCAACTGCTCAATACATATCTGTGGGTCACCTTCCCATTATAAAGGTTAAAAGTTGAATTTATAGAGAAAAATAGAAAAAAAAGACACACATCCAAATACCCATAAAATCAATCCTTAGTTCCTTATCTATGATAATAATAGAATTTCCTCCCAATAGTTTGTCGAACAGAGCTAGAATTAGAAAGAAACACAGGCTTAAATCAGAAACATCAAGGACAATGGCAGAGTCACTTACCCCAACCAACTAGACAAAATTTAAGGATGTAGTTTGGGATGTATATATTGAAGACTTTGACTAGCGCAAAATACATGTGGACTGCCTCCAGGCCCATCCATGTCAAAGAGACGAGCAGGAAGTAATGAAGAGCCACCGCAGCTGTGATACAAAGGCCGGCTTTCTGAAACGATGCCGACCAGGAATTGATCAGAAACACCAGGTTGAGCATCAGTAGTGCTGTGCACAGGTTGATCAGGATTCTAGAAGGATAATCTTTCCGAAGTTTACTAACAGAAAATGCACAATGTGAAGTTAGGTAAGATCTCTGAGTTTAATCAAACACTGCCACATCTTCTCTGTCTAATAAGTGAAGGAATAAAAACTACTCATTAAAATTAAATTACTCCTAGTACCTTATAGGAATTGAATTTTAGAGTCTCCCATTCTTTCCCCATGTAGAGTCAAAGTACCCCAACCATAGTGACACCAAAAAAACCATTGGCATTGAGTCAATTCCGACTCTGCCTGAAACACTCCTCTGTCCTTTCCCCATCTCCCTTTCATCTGCTAACTCCTATGAACCTGCAGGTCTAGATTGAGACCTCTCTTACACTGGGCCTTTCCTGATCTCCCAGATGGGAAATGTACACTCTAGGACAGAGTAGAACTGCACCATAGGGTTTCCAAGGCTGTAATTTTTATGGAAGCAAGCTGCCACATCTTTCTCCCATGAAGAAATTTCAGTTACCAGCCGAGCACTTAATCCAAGTGTACCACCAAGGCTCCTTGTGACCTACACTAACAGCTTGGTAGCCTCCCTTTTTCCTTCTGATGAGAAGGAGGGACGGTTTCCTGGACACTGAGACTCTATCATCACCACTTCCGCAGACTCAAGGCTGGATCTACGTATTGTTGAATGGTGGGATGACTACGGAAACCATTTCAAGCAGTTATTTGGGTATCTCCAAAGATCCAAACGTTTGGCATCATATAAATATGACCTTAAGTTTCACTCCAAAACCAAACCAAACTCATTGCCACCAAGTCCCTTCAGACTCATAGTGACTCCCATTGGGCTTCCAAGGCTATCACTCTTTAGGGAAGCAGACTGCTTCATCTTTCTTCCAGGGAGCGGCTGGTGGGTTTGAACCACAGACCTTTTGGTTAGCAGCCAAATGCCTTAACCACTACACCACCGGAGCACTTTTAAGTTTCACAAAACGAATGCAATTTCATCTTGTGGAAATTGATCCAGTATTTTCCAAATTTAAAATTTTCACCCTTTATTCTTTATTTCCATTAAATATTTATTGATTTTCAATTTTCATATGTGCATATGTGGCTTTTGTTTTGTTGTGATAAATAGTAAAGTGCACAAATCTTAAGAATACAACTCAATAAACCTTTACATATGTATATAAAAAAAACTCACTGCCATTGAGTGGGATCCGACTCACGGTGACCCCTCCCTGGGTTTCCCAGGCGGTATCACTACAGAAGTAGATCTCCTAACCTTCCTTCCAAGGAGTGGCTGGTGGATGTAAACCGCCAGTCTTCTGGTTAGCAGTCAAATGTCTTAGGCACTACAGCACTGCCAATGCTCCATTACATATGTATGTTGTTGTTGTTGTTATGTGCCGTCGAGTCAGACCCGACTCATAGCGACCCCTCCTTGGGTTTCCTAGGCAGTATCACTACGGAAGTAGACTGCCTCATCTTCCTTCCGAGGAGTGGCTGGTGGGTTTGAACCGCCAGCCTCCTGGTTAGCAGTCAAGTGCCTTAGGCACTATGCTACCAGAGCTCCTATTACATATATATATATATATATATATATATATATATATATATACTTGTGGAACTTCCTCCCAGATCGAGATAGGATATGTTCAACACCTCAGGTGGCCCGGATGGGGTAAGAGGGGAAAAGAAACCCAGATTCAAATAGGTTCAATAGGACAAAAGACAACCATCCAGGATGAGGGAAACCATCAGCACGTACACAGTACAGAAAGCTGAATGGAGTTCGCTGAGCCATGGCCATGGGGTTAATTACATATGGTTGACAAGACAGGGAATCATCACAAAATCACGATTGGTGGCAGGACGATTTATCACCGTGCAGGCAGGACTACAGAAGCAGGGAAAAATACCCTGATTGGGAATTTAAGAAAGGGTTCCAGGACTGGTTCTGGGCCTTGTCTCCCCGGCTAGTGGTGGTCCAGATAGGCTGTGACTCATGGCCATGCAGTCTGAGTCTTAGCCACAAGGTGGCTACCAAACAATACCAAGAACTTAGCCTTAATTTGGGAGCTCTGGTGGCGTAGTTCCTAAGGCATTTGACTGCTAACCAGAAGGCTGGCAGTTCAAACCCACCAGCCACTCCTCGGAAGGAAGACTGGGCAATGCCTCGGAAACCCAAGGAGGGGTCACTATGAATTGAATCGACTCGATGGCAGTGAGTTTTGTTTGTTTTGATGAAAGAAGTTCATTTTAATGAACCTCAGTTTATCAACTTTTTTTATGGTTAGTGTTTTTGTATCCTGTTCTGTATCCTCTTGTTGTAATTTTTTAAATCCAATTATCATCTTTTTTTTTTTTTTAAGAGGAGCCTTGGTTGTTTTGTTTTGTAAACTTATCCACTTTATAATCGCTAATGAATCTGATCTCTTCCTATTATTTGTTTAGGAAATTAACAAGCTGGCAATGATAACAGCATCCATCAAATAAAATTAAACTTATTCAAGGCAAAATTGTATCAACTTACTGAAAAACCAAGTATGTCACTATTGCAATTCCCAGGAAAATGGAGGAGATTCCACATCCAGTATATGTTATAAGCACTAATATCCTTTCATTTACTTCATCCACTGTAGACCTGGATAAATCCTGGGGAAAGCAGTATATTGCACTTGATACATTCACTAGAGTAAATCTATGGCAAACACATTCAGTGCTTAGCAACAGTAGATTTCCAGGACCTTTAGTATCTCTGCTACAACTCTTATAAAACCGAAGATGAAGGTAGGTATATAGTGAGACTTTATATTGTTTGTTGAATCAGCCTAGTGCAATTTACTGTGTACAGTGCATGGAGGGCCATCAAAACACTGGCAAAACATTTAGTTCTTGGTTTTATTGTTATTAACATGTTCCACACCTAACGTATAGCCAAGTTAATACAGGCAGTCCCCTGATTAAGAACAAGTTCTGTTCCTAAGTCTATCTTTAAGAAGAATTTGTAGGTAATTGGAATAGTTAGGTATGGTTTGTATTTAACGTCAGTTAGTCAAATGTTTGACTTAGTATATAGTATATAGTGGACATTTCTATGCAGAAAAAACATTAAAGAACACTTACAGATACTAAAACATCCTCAACATAATAACAGTAATAATAATTACAATGGTTTGATGTGCATCACAAAGTAGAATATATTGAACCACTGTATGTATTTTCTCCACAGTTGAAGAGATACCGACAGGGCAAACGTTACCCAAAATACTCAGAAGTTCCTGTTTTGTAAAATCTTTGAGACCAATTAGGTACTTTACTGTAGACTCTGAACTAGAAGTCTATGTTTTGCACCTGGCTGCATTTCTGCTGTGTCTGACACCCTCCTCAGGAGAGGCAGGGAGGGTTGGAGGTGTTGAAAGAATGGTTCTGGGGCCAGACAGATCATTGCTCTATCACCTTGAGGTGCAAGGGAGAAAGTACCACTCAGGATGTGCTAAGAGTGAGCTTGGGGTCCAAGGGTTGGGAAAAGGGCACTTAGAAAACCCACATCCGAAGTTCTCTGTGGACCCCCAGAAACCATTTGGCCCCACAGAAGTCAGGAATCTAAGACTGCCTTTACCCACTTCCAGTCACCAAAGGCCAAGAAATGTTACAATAGTGAAATCCCACGTGTGTAAGGCAGGGGAAACAGAAGCCCAGAGAGGTGCTGCACAGCACAGAGGGCCTGGCAGGATGGGACGTTGCAGAGCTGAGTACGGGGGCTCAGTGGAGACATGGCCGTGGGCTCAGTGTGGCATACTGACATAGAACATGGTGTCCACATTCCAGCTGCCGGAGGCCACCACCTGCAGGTCTGCCAAGTGGAGCAGAGCTACAGTGCTTGGGGGATGCTGATGGTGGATCTGCCCTTTCCAAGTTCTGAGGGAGGTGGGTGCATGTGGGCTCTCTGCTCAATGGGGTGGGCTGCTGCTGGGCACACCATATCGCAGGGGCCCACCCACCACCATTGGCCACTCAAGGACCTGAGTTAGCACCCGTGCACGTGGGAGAAGCAGTGGTCCATCATGGGAAAGAGTTGAACACCAAGTCAGTTTTTTCCTGATAGACTCTACAGGGGCTTGTTTGTAGCTATGAGTTGCGTAAGTCAGATGTTTGTAACTCTGGGACTGCCTGTACATACAATGGTTTCTAATAACACACAGGTGTTACTTTGCTACCTGCATCAAAGTATTACTATTATTATTACCATTTTTTTTTAAAGGAGCTCTAGTGGCAGAGGGGTCAAAGCATCTGGTTGCAAACCAAAAAGGCCAGCAGTTCAAACCCACCAGCCGCTCCGAGGGAGAAAAATGAGACAGTCCACTTCCATAAAGATTGATATGCTTGGAAACCCTATGGGGCAGTTCTACTGCCTAAAGTGTCGCTATGAGTTCAAATGGACCCAATTGCAGTAGGTTTATTATTATTTTAACAATGTTTTAGTGTATCTGGGTGTGTTTCTTTAATGTTTTTTAAGCATAGAAAAGTACACTATAGACTATATACTAACACAAACAAACATCTGGCTAACTGACATATATGAAGCATGCAAAATGAATCATTATCTGGCATCCCAAAACACTATACAGAACATAGAAAAAAAAATGTTCCTTTCCTTTAGACCTTAAGTAACTTTCATAAAATTAAGAAACAAAATGAAGTTTTAATCTGAGCTCCATAAAAGACTTGAAATGGCATGCAGAATTATTTGAACGCATGTGGGCGTTGGTCTGAAAAGAAGATCCCTATCTTCCATCTGATTGCTGTAGTTCATGACTCGTAAAAGATTAAGAAACACCGGTCTACTCAAGTAGTTACCAACTAGGAGCAAGTCTGCCCCCGTCCCAGGAACAAATGGCAATATTTGGGGACTTGGATGTAGAGAACATGTCACATGCCTCCTTTGTTGTTGTTGTTGTTGTTGTGTGCCATTGAGTCGGCCCCGACTCATAGCGACCCCTCCTTGGGTTTCTGAGGCCTCCTACAACAAAGAATTATCTAGCCCAGAATATCAACAGTGCCAAGGCTGAAAAATCCTGATCTTGTCCAAGTTTTCACATTTGAAAAGAAAAAACCCAAGGTCCAAACAAGTGAAACAACCTGATGAAAATCATATAGATAGTCAGTGACACAGCTGAACATGAACCCTGATCTTTTGACTCTTACTGTAATATTCCAGCCAATCTAGAAAGATCTAAACAGAATTCTTACAACTCAACAAGTATCAATTGAGCATCTCTCTCTCTCTCTCTCTCTCTCTCTCTCTCTCTCTCTCTCGCACGCATGGGTGTGCGCACTTTTTTTTCTTTTTAAGTATACATGGTATGAGGAACTCTGGTAGCATAGTGCCTAAGGCACTTGACTGCTAACCAGAAGGCTGGCGGTTCAAA